GACAGACATCATACCCGGGGCATCGGCTGGAGATGGCCCGTCCCCTCCTTCCAACCTCACGCTCCTGGTGTGGGGGGGTAAAGTGTGGTGGCAAAACCACCCCGTGCTCGCCCTCTTGGGTGATGAGGGAGCAGCTGTGACCTGTGGGCAGGTCGCCAAGGGCTCCCTAATGAGGTGGGGAGGCTGTGATGAAGGGGGTGGAGAACCGTGGCCCCCCCCCAGATCACCCAGCTGCCCAGGGTGGGGATGGTGGGAGGCAACCCCAGAGCAGGACCAGGTGAGTGGGGAGAAAGTCACAGAGGACTGGAGAGAGGGAAGGTGGAAGGACCCAGCACCCAGTCTCCTACTGCACAGGGACACTTTGAGATGCACCCTTGGCAACTTCTTCCCCCTCCTCCCTCCCAGCCACCCCCAGCTCCTCTCACCCAGGCTCACCTGACCCGTTTCCTCTCCAAAAGGCAGCCAGGAAGATGCCAGTCAGGAGGGTTCATCTCAGCACCTGCTGCTGCAGCTCTGGAGTCAGTGACAAGAGCAGGGATCTGGTCCCTGGGTTGTGGGGGGCTGGCTCTGCAGATGCAGAGCTGCTCCCTGGAGCCTTCATGTCCCTTAGAGCTCCTTTAGCCCAAGCAGGCAGCAGGACACACACCATCTCTCCCTCCCACATCCCACTTTCCCACCCCACATCACTGCTGGGGGCATTTCTGGGTCCGGGTGTCCTCGTTGCCCCTCACTGTGCTCATCACTCTCCTCCAGCCTTTATATCTGTCTCGGGGGACTGTCCCCTGCACCTGGACGAGATCCGCCACTTCCTGAACCTGTGCCCAGAGCTCTCCCTCGGCTGGTTTGAGGAGGGGCGGCTCGTGGCCTTCATCATCGGCTCCCTCTGGGACCAGGACAGGCTCAGCCAGGTAAGAGCTGGACCCTGTTCTTCCCAGCTCCTGTGCTGGGAGAGGCACCACACGCCCTGACACCACTCACCAAGCCTTCCTCCCAAGACCAATTGCTACAGGGAAACGAACTTTCTCGTTAATTAATTTTACTGATGCTGTTAAAAAAAAAACAACACAACAACCCAACACCCAATTATGCCCAGTAATTCCCCACAACATTCAAACGGAAGAAGCCTGGGAGAAGGTGAATGAGGCTGGCACCGGGGACCCTTCTCCCTTTGTGGGGGTGGGAGGGGGACCCTGCTTTAGCAGGACGCAAAGACACGCAAAGAATGGGGCTCTCCTGCTCCCACTAACCCTGTTCCCCCCACCCCTGGCAGGAAGCCCTGACCCTGCACAGGCCCCGGGGCACAGCAGTGCACATCCACGTGCTGGCCGTGCACCGCACCTTCCGGCAGCAGGGCAAGGGCTCCATCCTGCTCTGGCGGGACCTGCAGCCCCTGCGCCGCCCGCCC